TCTGTTTGCTCAGAGACAGTTTAATGCATCCCGACTACCAGAGGCAGAACTTCCATTGGCTCTCTTACAGGGGTAATTTACACTTTAACAAGGTATTGTGACAAGGTGGTAATTATATTTTTATCACGTCATTATGACATTACCACCTGGAAAGCCCTAGCTGATTAATTAGTGGCATATATTAAATTTATAACCCTAGAACTCTAAAGTTATCATACCTAAGTGGTGTAATTATGTTGAGCTGTGGTGTGGCAGTGAATTGGAGGTGAGGATGCTGAGTACCCACCTATTGAAACAGGTTTAGCAAGTGCCAGTAGAGGGCAGGGAGCTGCACAGGAGGAAATACTTTAAAAAAAAATAAAGAAAGAAAGATGATGATGAAGTCATTAGACTCTTGAAACCAAATCTAGTCAGATTGGAGGCTCCTTGCACGTATACTTTTTTTTTTTTTAAACAAAGACATAATTTGAGAGCACTTCGGTACTACTTTGATATATTTGATATCAGCACTCCTTATTTCACAGTTTTGTTTTAGTTAGGCCACATGCATTCTGCTTTTTTTCTAATATAACAATTTCTGTTGAGCGTTTGGAGGCTTGCACTGGCTATTCTGTAGGCTACACCACCTCTCTGTGACTGATAGGAAGCATGAGTTTTGGCATTTCTCTTAGCGTTCTCCATCTGTCCATGTGTTTAATGGTATTCTTATCAATTTACTTTTTTTTTCCCTTGTCCTTAACACTATGAGATCAAGAAAGGAGATGAGGCTGAACATAATTATGAAAGCATCCACAACAAATAGCTTGATCAGCTGTAGTCACATATTCCTCTGCAGTAAATACAGACTGAATTACAAGCCAAATTTATTTTTATCCGAATTATTATGTTAAAGATCAGTGTTCCAGTTTTGAATTGCTTTGCTCTAAGTCGGATCTGCAAGTAACTGATGTTCTCTTCTCTTCTGTTATAGAAAATGAAGTAGCTACTTTCCCTGTGTTGGTGAGTGATCAGAGTGAAATTGTGGATACCAATGGAGCTGGAGATGCATTTGTTGGAGGTACTCGTTACTTCAGTCTCTTGTTTTTGGAGATATTCGTATTAATCTGTCTATAAACACTGCCATTTTGTTTCACTTGACTCTCCTTTTGAATGAACTTCATCCTTTTAGGCTTTCCTCTGCATCCTGAAGTTACGTGATTTAATTAAGTTCTGATTTTCCAAGGAAAAGCGTGTTCTGTTACTTTAAAGATAATACGCTGTTATGCTATACCCTGGTCGTTTTCGTGAAATTAATTGTGTCTGTCAGACTGTTGCATAAACAAGCTGCATCAAGTACTATATAGTGTACAGAAATCCCTCCTGGCTTAAATGTTAACACATTGTTGTTCTTTAAACAGGTTGTAGTGAATATTAAACAGTATGTTAATAAGTGAGCATAATGTCTTCTGATCTTGTCAATTTTCATACAACATCTGCTTCCAATACAATTATTTGGACATCAGAAAAGAACACAAAGGGTTAATTTGTTAAAACAAACACAGAAAATATCTGGCATTGCTTAATATCCATTTGCAAACTTACTATTTCTTTTGGCACAAGCTCTAAGAGAAAAAGAGGATGTTATGTCTATGCCTGCTTTAAAAAATTATTCAACATAAACCAAAAACCAATCCACTCCAAAAGTTCTGTCATTCATTGTAACCTTCATACATGTAGTTGTGTGATACACTGTGGCATCCTGAAGGCTCTAATATCCAGTAAGTAGTAGCTTTAAGGAGCTCCATTAGTCACTAATTTACTGGAAACGTTACTAAAGAGACCTTATAAATAGAATTCCAGGGCTCAGTCGTGAAGCTGGGAAGGGGATAGCAGGGAGTGTGTTACCCAAATTAAAGCATCAGAATTGGGCCCCACTTCAAGAAGGGATTCAAAATAAACTCAGCCTTAAGCATATGGATAATTCCAGCCTTGCTCAATACATCACTTAAACCCATGATAAATGTTCAGTATTTGGTTAAATGTGGATGAAAATTGGAACGTGATTACTCATTTGCTTCAGTGCTTTTCTGAATCAAAAAGGGCAGAAATAGAGGGAAGCGCATTAGGTTGTGTTATCCATGCACCTTTTAGCGCACACTTGTCACTCTCTGTTATTCCTAAGTAACATACAGGGCTATATTTGAACTAGTACATAAAAAATGACTGTAAAATAAAGAAAATCATCCTCAAGTGCTGGTCCCTGCACACATGTGCTCTGTCTCAGCTGTGCCAGTAAGCTGCAGCTCTCGTCATGGAAACAGAGAAAAGATCTGGCCAATTTTATTTTCAGGTCCTGAAAATAGTGATGGGTAATGCCCAGGTGGGCAATACAGTAGAGACCAACCAATCTTTGTTTCTTTTGACCTGCCTGCCCTATTTATCTCAGGCGGTATTTATTACAGTTATTTTGTTTTTAGACATGATTTCAACTTTTGGAAATCAGGAGCTTTTCTTTTAATAATCCTAATTCTGTTCTTTCCTAGTTTAGCTGTAGGAAGATTATTATAACTAAATCGTTAGGTTTTAAGAACTATCAGGTCTCTCATAACCCTCTTTAAACAATATCCTTTTCCCTGGTGCTGCAGTAACTGCTCTTTTTGTGTGAAAGGGCTAAACTTTGATGTTAGTAATTACTTGGAACATACTGAATGGATTCATTGACATGAGCCAAATCACACCCTATTCCAAATTGCTGCCTTCAACACTGCCAGCAGGAGTTCAGGTACATCTCATCAGGCGGGCCCTAGTTAGGTCCATTGTGAGATTCCTTTTTGCAGGTGTCAAAGAGCGGATTGCAAGAGTCTGGAGGAAAATGATGGAAGAAATGTTAAACTCCCTGGGAAGGAAGTGGGAAAAAATAGACAAAAACTACTTCTAAAAGATCAACTCCTCTTTTTAATTCCAGGTCTGTTGAGGTTGCCTGCCTGGATGCAGCAAGCTGCAGAGTCTTTTGGGGAATCTGAGCAAAGATCCTGTGCTGTGGTTTATGGATATATGATTTGACTCAGTTCTCCTACAAGTTGCACTGAGGCATCAGATTTTCTTTTTGTACAAAGGCAGTGCTGTCCAGTGACAGTTTGGTACATATGTTTCTCCCCTGAAAGGAAAGGATCCCAGCTATTTTCTTCTTTATAATATCAGTTGGCTCAGCAGTGACAAAGCTATCTGAAATCTGAATTGGAGCCCTACCTGAGTAGCAAGCATGTGCTAAGGTTCTCATTGCATCATATTTCACTCTGCTGTGACTCAGAAACCATGAGCTTTTGAATATCTATAGTTCTCCCATTAGTTTCTGAGATATCCTAGTTCTCCTCTGTCACTCCATAAATAATAAATTGTTCATTTATTCTCCTCAGAGTAGAGATTTTCCTGACTTTAGTCCAGATGGGAGGTTTGGGAGTCATAACAGTCTAGGTACACAGCTGATTCTGTATGCTGTAGTCTCCTTCTTCATGGAGTCATTTCATTTTCCTTCCCATATGCGGGAAATAGAATACTGGATGGGATTGGCTTTGATTTTGTCTGGATTTCATTTGAGGGGAATGCCAGTATTTATCGATATCGCATTTTTAATGCATTTTCAAAGTATATATTTGCAATAGGAAAAGTTTTTGATTGTCTCCTTACCAGAAAATTCTACATAGTAATGTTGGTAATACTACTCAAAATATATATCTTCTGCTGATTCTAACATCAAACCAGATGCAGTGTTGTTGACCTGTCATTTTTTTTTTTTATAATGGGAAAGTTAGATTCTTTTCTAAGGTTCTTTTCTAGGGATCTTTTTCCTCTTTGATTGAGATTTTTATCAGGTGGTTCTTACCCAGGCAACAGTACATGTAAAATTCTGATTCAACCTTTAGGTTCCTTGTAGTAAAAAGTTTCAGAATTCATCCCTTAACTCAAAAATGCACTCAGTAGTATAATATACTTTTCTGGACACATAGCTCCTTTATTTGAACAGTAGAGAACGAGAGTCCCTTACTTCTCCAGGACTGATAAATTAACATGACTGAATAGTGGTCTTGTTGGAGCAAATGTCTTGGCTGAGAAGGCAATGTGGAATATAATGAGAGCTAACCCCATCAAGCAGGATTTATTTTACATTAGGAGGTCAGGTTTGTTAGACTTTATCATATTTTGAGAGGTCTTTCACTGAGGCACTTTCTTCCAGAGGTATAACTCACCAGATTGTAAGGAAATTCCATCTCGATGATTATGCCAACTTGGCAAATTACTGCTCATGTATTTCTCCATGTGAAAGTGGAAAATAAGAAATCTGTGGGATTTTTTTTTTCCTAGAACTTATCTAGCTACCAAAGGTCATTAAAATTAAAAATGAAAAAAAAATAAAGAAACTAAGTTTCTGGGCACTTATAACGGAGTTGGTTTGTGAGTTCAGCAGTTCTGTACCTGAAGCCCCTAGTCTCAAAGCAGAGCTAGCTCACTCCCACAGCTAGCAACAGCAAATCAGCTGGATTCTGCAGAAGTGCATTTTTATTAAGTTGGGATCAGGAATATGTCTCAATTTCTTACCTTGTATTGCAGCATCAAGTCGCCTGCCACTCTGGCTGGTAGAATGCATGAATAAGAAATTAGATTTTAAATTTGCTGAAGGTATCATTATCCTAAAAATATTTTTCTAAATGATACTAACAGACTCCTGCCTTTATTGCTTTTCAGCAATACTGCTTCCAATTAGAAGTTCAGCAATAACAATTCACTCTGTAGCATCTCAGCACCTCTTGTGGATTCCAAGGGTACCACAGATTTCCAGCTACAAATCCCTGAAATACCCATAAATTAGAGCTGTAATTCTACCCCAGGGTTCTGATGACATTGACAAATCACTTGAGCTTTGCTAACATGTCTTATGTCATAAGAGTCCTCTTTATGGAATTACAGCCTTATTTTTTAGAGTTTGGGGAGCATTCTCTTCCTCTTTATTAATTAGCATTTATTTATTACTATTTGGTCCCTTTCTGGACCTCTGCAATCATGATATTCAAAGCCCATTTAATGGCAATGCATATATTGAAATACAGACAATTTTACCATCTTATGCTTTCCTCTATGCCATCATGCCTTCCTTAGCCATCGTAGGTCTGCCTTCTGTGTGGACTCATAAGACAATAAGAATCTTTATGAGGGCTCCTGAAAAGTCCTCCCCTACTTATAGACTGTGTCTACTAAGTGGAATTGGGTAGAGAGTTTGTAATGGTGAATGGAAAAAAGTGTAAAATAAATATGTGCCTTACCATTCTGTCAATATATTTATTTGCTAATCTGATCTGATTTAGTCGCATACTGTAAGAAAAGTTCTAGAAGAGGAGACGTAACTGCAAGTAATTTTAAAGCAGTGTTATGAAGCATCAACAGAAAGAGCAGAGTAAGTATATATTAGTATTGCCATACTATAAAGTTATTATACCATTCACAGGGACAAGAATTCCTGAGTTATAAGGAGCTCTTCATTGGGCACTGTAAGGTGCCCAAACCAGCTCATAGCAATTTATCTCTGTCCATAGCAAAGCTGAGGTCAACACCACCTGTCAACTTCAAAATCCCATTGACAGCTTGTACATGTAGAGAGGCCTTGGAAAGTTGTTACTTGCAATCTGAAAGCTACAGAGAGTTGTTTTTTTTTTGTTTTTTTTTTTTTTTTTTTTTTTGCTGCATGTGCTTATCAAATAAGCAATTCTCTCTCCTCCTCTTCTGAAAGATGGTGCACACCTTATAAGATGTTACTGTGCCAGCAGTCAGAGAACCACCCTGCTAGAAGTCAGGGTCAGGTCCACAAGCAGAGCTGTGGGGTGTCCTCGAGGGAGTGTGCTTGGTGGCATCCTCATCTTCTCTTTGGAGACCACATTGCTTAGAGGAGATACTTTCCTCCTTTTGGTTACGTTCCTGTGGGCAAACTGGCTAACTTAAGCCATCCATTCATCTTTAATATAGAGGTTAAGCCCAAGCTTATTTCTTTTCATCTTAGTCTAAATGCATCTACAGATTAGAGCAAGATACTGAATTGAGATTTTGCTTGCAGGTCATCACATTGTTCAAATTTTAGCCTGCTT